TTTATAGTATTTAGGCACTCTGAACTTTAATTTCAGCATTTTCCGTCAGTTAATTTGAGTGCCGCTCATATGCAGCCAAAATCTATTGCAGTAGGTTTGTAATGATCCCTCCTTAGCATTTGTAGAGCCTCTTACTCTGAGGAGAGCAGGCAGAGGTTCTCTTTCGCCCATCTGGATCAACCTCCATCCCTGTAGCAAATTATGATTTGCTCCACTGACAATATTAGTGACCCATTTACTGTTGAGAGAGGCCCGGGGGCCCTCCCCGGGAGACAGGTACTATGAGAGAAGTGTCTTTGCAAGCGTAAATTAGGGGATAGATGATCTCCTGCAACAGCCGCAATGGAAAACATGGGATCGAGGGAAAATTCCCATCTCACACCACATGAAGATTTATGTTAATCATTTAAGGGTGTATCGAAAACACAGACCTCGAAAACACAGATCACAGACCGCAGACCTCGATAACACAGACCTTGAAAATGTTGTATGTGTACTAATTGACAGGTTTCGTTTTTTTATATACTTTGTGAGAAAACGAAAATTTAAAAGAGTCCAAAACTACATCGGGACCGGTTCAAGTTTATTCATAAATTGAGTTTACCCGAAATTTCCAAGATGGCGGACGCGTTGAGGATTTTCGACTCTCTTCTCCTTTGATTGTAAGTGCAGGTTTCGTTTGCGGAAAATGGAGCACACAATAAGTTGGAATATCATCAAGTAAGGTATTCATACCCATTAGAAAATTAAGCAATGAAAGTAACGAAGAAATGCTGGCAAATGAACACGCTCCCGAGCATCCATCCATCCACCGGAAGTCACACAAGTGGTTAGGATGAAGTTTCGCGACGAAAAACATCGCAATTAAATTAGTTCATAACCGACTACAATCACTCAACGAAAACTATCACCACCCTCTGAAGAATCAAGAGAAATAATGATTGATATTTTTTTAAACATTGGGAATATACTGTAGGCTCCTTTTCAAGGAAGGTCGATGGCTGTGTTGTTCACCATTACAAGACCATTTTTTGGAACGGGTTAAACGTCTTAAGAAAGTGTTGATTAAATGAGATTGAGTTACTTAAGAATTCGTTGTCTTTTTGACAACTTCGTGTATCAAGAAGAAAGTTATCCAAACATGCACATGTTGGCGAGAGACCGGAACAACAATGCAAAAATCGACTTCCGGTTGATGTTTACTTTTCGTGTGTTCGTGAGCCCGCGCCGGGGTTAATCGTGAGTGTGTTCCTTTGCCAAAGTTTTCAAAACCCATAAAACCCATATTGTCTGTGTAGGTATACAATGCTAATTTTTAGTCGTTGGTTTTGTTATTTCGAAGCTATTGGTTCAACTATCCAGCCACAAATATCGTCAAGATCACAGTTGCCAGGATGTACTAATTAATAAATGTGTTGTGAGAAAATGTGTTGCGGTTAATTAGCCTTCTCAATGTTGTGTGTTCTTGTAGAGAAAAGAATAGGGCGTTCCAAAGAACCCTGCTGTAAAAGCTAAATAAATTAATTGCCGTTTTTTCGTCACGAAACTTCATCTTAACCACTTGTGTGACTTCCGATGGATGTATCGTGTTTCTGTCGCCCGGGAGCATGTTCATTTGCCACCATTTCTTCGTTACTTTCATTGCTTAAATTTCTAATGGGTACGAATACCTTACTTGATGATATTCCAACTTATTCTGAGCTCGATTTTCCGCAAACGAAGCTGCACCTACAATCAAGGGAGATCCGCAATGCGTCCACCATCTTGGAAATTTCGGCAAGCTCAATTTATCGATAAACTTGAGCCGGTCCCCGGTTGTGGGGGGGGGGTTACGCTCTTGTATGACTGTATAGGTATGTGCGGCCCCAAAGGGTATGGTATTTCAGTCGTTTTGGTCATAAATAGAGTATCGTTTTTAGCGAATTTTGGCCATTTTGGTCACAAATAGGGTATGGTTTTTGCACTCTAACCTTGATCTGAATATGTTTTTAAGAAAAAGCCACTTTTTCGTCATTATCGAAAGGAAAATAAACATAAATTATGTTTACGGTAATTTAACATTGGTCTGAATTAGGGAACTAAATATAACGCAGGTCGGATAAAAGTGTATTAGGGTAGGGAATATCGCACATTTTGGTCATAAATAGGGTAAGGGTTTTGGG